GCAGTAAAATCTAATGAGCATTTTCGATAGATGAGGTGAGGAGCACTTCCAGAAAATCTGCGTAATCGCTGATATTGACGGACAGACTCCAACCTCACCATAGGGTTGACGCAATTTTGCACCACAAAACTCAATTTTCAAGCAACAGAAAATACTGTAATAGTATAGCCATTACGACAACCATACAACAGTGAACTTTTGTGCATGACTAGGAAATATTTCGGGATTGAGCACTCTGGTTCAGCCGCAGTTGGCATCCACTGGTTGTTAAGTGGACCACCCTGCGCAATCAAAGCCAATTCAGATTACGAGATAAAACAGGAGACGCTTAACTCAGACAATCGATCGGACCCCTCCGGCGGACAGTCGAAATCTGCCAGAGTCGCGGCGGACCCAGTTGACCAATGAGAGCGGGGCGAGGGGACGGTCCCTTCTTGTAGGTCACGGTGACTTCACCGGCAGGCGAGTGGGACCCTTCTCCGGATCTGCTGCAAAGGTACGCCATTTCTGCTCCGGAGGTACGCCAGATTTGGCAGAGCCGCGGCGGAGAGATTTGCCCGCCGCGAGTCCGCCAGATTTGGACGAGCCGCGGAGCAGAAAATCGGAGGGGTCCGGAGCACAAATGGGAGGTCTCCGGAGCACAAAATGGGAGGTCTCCGGAGCACAAAATGGGAGGTCTCCGGAGCACAAAATGGGAGGTCTCCGGAGCACAAATGGGAGGTCTCCGGAGCACAAATGGGAGGTCTCCGGAGCACAAAATGGGAGGCCTCCGGAGCGCAAATGGGAGGACTCCGGAGCATAAATGGGAGGTCTCCGGCGCACAAAATCGGGGGGCTCCGGCGCACGAGTGGCAGACCCACCGCTGGGGAAACCCCGCGGCCCTGCCATTTCTGCGCCGGAGGGGTCCGATCCGCTGTCTGAGAAACTTCAAAATCTCAGCTAATCTCATTCATCGGGTGAAATATGACATGAAACACAGAGGAAAATAAGGAGACCTAGGCTTATATCGAATCTTCTGCTCGCAGGGAGTTTTCGTGAAAAGTTTTTCAGTTTTAAATCGCAACTGCATCTACTAGGGAAAATCAGAGATTGTTGCAAAAGCTGCATCACCATGTAGGCGATGTGATAAATCAAGTCCAGCGCGTTATGAACATTGCAAACAGAATTCTGTGGAGTAAAAGCGTGACAACTCTATGGTGAGGTTGGAGACTGCCCGTCAATATCAGCGATTACGCTTTTACGGAAACGCTCCTCATTTCATCTAACAAAAATGCAGTAGAGTTTATTGCTATCATTTGCAAAGGGCTTGAAAACTCCTCAAACCAGCTTCTTGTTAAAACAGATTGATTTTTGATGCTTTTGAAAGCAAAAAATGCAGTGATCGCTTCTGTTTGAATAGGATGACAGACCGTAGGTGCTGCAAATATTTCATATTTTGTGATATAATTGTACAAAAAAATTTGCGAGTCAACGAATGCAATAGTGATTAGAAAAACCAGGTGGCTTTATAATTTTGTCCAGCTTTCATTAAGGGCTTTTTCAAATTTTTTCGATTTTCTCCGTGCAAAGTCAACAAGACTGGAAGCCGTTTTGAGGGAATCATGGTAGGTTGACACGCGCACAATACAGCAAAGTTTCAGACAGATTCATTGACAAGGACGAAAATTACATTTCTAGAGTGGCTTTATAATTATGTCCAGCACTGTTTAGCTCTGAATGACCTAAATTCATTCTCGCAGTTCCTACCCTAACCCTAGATAGGTGAAGAGTGATCGGTAAATCGATTCATACTTTAAGTCTAAGTTGAAGTGAGCTCTATAAAATGGTACCTAAAGACCGACAAAGGCATAGCAGCAGAAGAACGATTAAATAGTTTAAACATTTTTGTCACCATGGATGAGAAAGTAGCAAAAAACACTTTCAGACGATATACAAAGTTCTCTGTGGTATTTTTTATCCTTGCAAGTTCCAAGAAAAGTGCGGAAAGCTGCAGTGATTGAGTCCCAACATAATGGAAAATCGAAAAACATCATAAAGAACCTGTATCTTGACATTTTGATCGTCCCTAGGTTCGATGAGCACTCGAACAAAAAACGCTGCAGAGAATTATAGGGAGAGTTCCAATTGAGTGTACATAGATATGACAAACGCTCTCGAATAGGAGATTGCGGTAAAATAAAGCCTAGCAAGGTGAAAGTGTTTATTTCCACATGCAATGTGTACAAACAGGGAGCTCATAAAAAGTGAGCGAGAGAAACGTGCGCTTTGAGAACAGTCAATAATGTGTGATCTTAACATAAGAATGAGAACCTGTTCTAAAAGTGATGCCGATGACACTCTGAATAAAATACCGGCGACACCCGTTCGTCATTCTTGTCACGATGGTGGGAAAAATTTTGAAAAAAAATTTTTGGATTCAGAAAACTTGTTGTTCCCCGCACTGCTTCAATTGCATACTCCGTGGATACAGGTATAACAATCGCGATGTTTAGGCTAGATTCTCTGGCAGTTCTCATAAGTAACTGATTACAGACATTGTACTTCCCTAGTCATACTTCCTATATACTATTAGATCGGCCCAAAAGTTCTTGCGTGAATCGAACAAATATCTCTCCGAATCCTGAAGCTGTGTAGATCCAAATTTCACAGAAAAATCTCTCTTATCACTGCACTTTTTTGAGCAAAAACAGTGATTGACATTCGAGTAAACATCACAGTGTTTTATGTAAGCACTATTTCAAACTTCTGGCTTCGAAATGTGTTCCTGAGAAGACCCTGCAGTTGTAAGGAACAAAAAGAGGAAAGAAAATGTTCTGCATGTCCGTGCTAGATTAATTGTGCTAAAGTGACTTACAGACTGCTTCTATGTAAAACGTTTGCAAAATTCTTGAGCTAGCTAGAGGCCCCGGGATTTTCTGGCTTCAAACTCGAAATCGTAAAATTCGAAACGCCATTTTCCAATGCTTCGTTCATTTTTGGCTGACTTGCTCTCTTAGGCCCGTATGCACGTACATCCCCGCTGGGGAGGGGAGGGGATCTGAGAGGGGATGCGTCATATCTCGCTACTTTACGTATCTTTCTTCTTACTTTTCTATCTTGCTTATGAAGGTTCTCATACTCTACTACCTGCGCATAATCAATCCCAGGTTACTGGCATAACTGATTAGATTTGTACTATTTTGTGTGATCCCCTGGGGATCCCCAGGGGATCACCTCTCATTTTCAAAGTCATTTATCTTCCTGAGAAATCAATAAAAACGCCGCAAAATTGTATACTACGGTACTGCTAAGCATGTTTAAAGTAAAAATAAGTGAAATCCCAGGATATCGAAATCTTCGGTAGTCCCTGGCTCAAAAGCTAGGGATCATCGAAAAATTCACTATTTTCAGATTCCATTTTTTCTGTCGAAAACATGCTTAGCAGTGCCGTAGTATATCCTCAGTACAATTTTGCGGCGTTTCCATTGGTTTCTCAGAAAGATAAATGACTTTGAAAATGAGGGGTGATCCCCTGGGGATCCCCTGGGGATCCCCGGGGGATCACACAAAATAGTACAAATCTAATCAGTTATGCCAGTAACCTGGCATCAATTATGCGCAGGTAGTAGGGTATGAGAACCTTCATAAGCAAGATAGAAAAGGAAGAAGAAAGATACGTAAAGTAGCGAGGTATGGCGCATCCCCTCTCAGATCCCCTCCCCTCCCCAGCGGGGATGTACGTGCATACGGGCCTTAGGCTATTGTTACGCTAAGACATCTACAAGGAGTGCAAGCCTTCCACTTCACATCCACTTTTAGGGAAAATATAATGTTTATGTTTAGATTATTGAAGTATGCACTATCTACGCGAAAACTTCCAACTAATCTTTTCCTTTATTAGTCTACCCTGGATAGCTGCTTTCCGGCCAGGGTTCGGCACGAGGTGGCTAGCTGAAAATGCGAAAAACGAAGTTCCCCTCAACTTCTGCGAATTTTTAAGAAGTCCTCTTTGACCCTAGACCATAATTCCTAAAAAATCTCGTAAATCAATTTAAAATCTCGTAATTTACCGTCCGGAATCCGGACGGTAGATTTGAGTATGTCTGTGAGCGCTTCAAATGTGTGAATAAATGTCTGATGACGCGCACAGAATGCAAAAATTAATAACCCATTAATAGTCTCCTAACACGGAAAAACACAAATAACATTTCGACCTTATTTCATTTGGATTGTACAAGTACACACTAAATACCCGAAGCCAGACACATGCTGCTCGCTGATCCCGCTGCCTATCATCCCCATAGTAGTAGTGTCAGAAGCGGACCGAGGCGGGAAGCGGGATGCCCCCCCCCCTTGAAGGAATAGGTCGTGAAATTTTTGAAAATCATCTATATGAGTTATGCAAATATGCAAGTGACTTGCTTGTAACTGCAAATGATCAAAATAATATTTCAACTACTATGAAAACTTAAATTACCCTTGCAAAATTTTTTCGGGACCGTGACTGCGGCCACGACTCCTCATTCCAAATTTCCGTGGTCATGGAATTTGGCCATGAATGGCGTGACTTATAAATCTTGTAATTCCTATAACTTCATGTAATGCTCCTTTTCTTTTTCCGAGCGTAGAGAACTTTTGATATACTCTCCAGTTTTTCCGATCCCATGCAAATGCCAAAGTAGGCACAATCAATTCAGCTGTTTTTCGCAAAAAAAACAATGAGAGAGTGAAACTGTTTAGAAGTACGCAAAACGAAATAAGTTTGTTGCCCTTGATGATGCAGTTGCCATAAAGATTTATTTTACCGTGATAATGCAAGCAATTCAAAACGCAGATTTAAGGCCGCTTGCGCCCGCGACGCATTCGGGGTCTCTTACGCGCGTGCTCTCTGATCATTATCTAGCCTTAACTAGGTCACGATGTCCCGCCTTCCAGTCGCCAATCCGGTTGAATCAAAGGATACATAGTTCTCTGAGGACAGCATCTTATATCCGATGTGTGCAGCATTGAAAATATATCATCTTTATTTAGAATTATACCAAATTTCAATCAGCAACACAATGTACAACTAACATTTTTACTTTTCACCGCTCTTACTCTCACCAGTCTTACCATATAACAGATCTGTATCGACTTTGGCTGAGCCGATGTTGAATGGGACAATTTTGATGTAAGTGGGGAACTGGGCTTCTTTTGTGCAAGGGATGTAGTCCTGATGTGCAGAGCAAAGATAGAGTTTGCACACGGAACACACGTGAGACGGCCGATTCGTGCAGTTCAGAATCACGCACTCTCTTGTTGACCTGAATTGCAGGACCTTTAGTGATAAGATATGAAGAAAAAATAGTCTTGCAAACGGAAATCGTAGGATTAGAATCTATCTTTTGCAACTAGAGCCTCTCTCTAATAGTGGGCTTCAATGTTCACTGCAATGTAGGAAGACGTTTTCTCATTCTCTTCTATCTGAGACGTCGTTATCTCCTACTTAGCTTTCTGACGGAACGAGCGCAATTCCAAAGAATAGTTGTGAAAAACTGATCTCTCCCCCCCCCCCCCCCCCTGCGGCAATTTGCATAATGAGACGAGTCGAGAATGATGATTGAGCTATTAAGTTGGTTTAAGTTCGTTTTTTTATACACAGCTCCATAAAAAAAATTTTATTTTCTAATATCTATGATTAATTGAATTAATTGAGAAGGATAGTTATTCAACTACTTAGGACATTTTACTATCAGTAAAAGATAGCTATGCCCCAATAGGCCTAAAGGACCAAAATTGATATGTGGAAACACCCGAGTTTTCCTTTAGTGAACAACGATAAAACGATAGATTTGCCATTTCGACTGAAACATGAAGTTTTCTTACATTTGCGGACAGTGAGAAAATTAGGGTTTGTCCCTTTTTGCGCCAAATTCTGCTCAATAATTACGAATTGTCGAAGTGCTCTTTCTGTAGATACCAAACCCCAGACAAAAATATGTGTGGCGTATTTGTGAAAGCTGCAAATGTGACCGAATCTATTAGGTTGTGTAATAAGTTCATTCGTATTTTGATTTTTTTCGTTGTGTACGGAGTTCAGTATAAGTTGTGTGTGCTTCTGAAAGCTCACATCCTGTTCTATCATGATCATTGTTTCAGTTTACTAAAGCGGTCAAAATGGGATGAGTTTTGGGGTTTTCAACTTGGAAAAACTAGGAAGTGGAAAATACCACTTTTGACCATGATAGGTTGCATTTAAAAGCTGCTTAATTTTTATCAAACAACTCCAAGAATTCGCAACGGAAATAGAGACGATACCGTAGCTTACACAGTCTGCTCGGCAATGCTAAGAAGCCTCAAGAATCCGATTTGTAAGTTTGGATAAAGCTCTTTTTTTACTTCTCGTCTTCTCTAACCGAACGATTAACGCTGAAGACAGTTTCCAAACAACTACAAAATAGCTGGGTTTTTTTTGTGTAGTAACTGATTGAAAAGTTCTAGGTAAGCCAATATCCGAGCAGTAGCCCAAATGATTTACTCGCGGCAGAGGAACTCTATTCTGAATTTCAGCCCAAGCACTACTAGCTACTGCATCTAGTTGACGCTGATTGGTCCACTTATAGAGAATACTGGGCAGGAGTTGAGGAATAAATTATGAATGTATTTAGAGTTTGATTCGACTGGCTTGGCTTCAAGAAGGCGGGGCTTTGTGACCTAATTATGCCCGCTTGCGCCCCCGACGCCCTGCGTCTCTCTCGCGCAACTGCTCTTTGATCGTTACTTAGCCTCAATTAGGTCACGAAGCCCGCTTTCCCGAAGCCAAGCGAGTTGAATCAAATGGTATGAATATCATGAACTGTCGCTTGGGCAGTGGTTTCCCGAGGTCATGATATTATCCGCATAAGAAGTCCAGCAGATCAGAAATGCTAGACAATTCTGGCACGTTCACGACAAGGCCGATTTTTCCATGACTGTCGTTCGGATCATAGCATATTTATTTACAATAATAATTTGCGTTATATTATTAGCCATTGATGGGTCCTGTGGTCTGAATTGTTGAGTTTTTGGGAAATATTCCAAGAGATGTATACAGAACTTTATTCAGTTTGCTCAAGAAATTTCGTCATAAAGCAGCAAAATCAAAAAACTTAGAATGCATACGACCCACCAGTAGGTCGTGCCCGAAATGGCAGGACACGTACGACCCACCGGTGGGTCGTATTGTTGTGAATGTGTTAGCAACACAAAGTTGCAAGTTTGTATTCTTTGATCGAGACGCTTTTGCGCTTGCAAGTATTAGTCACCTGCCTCTTGAGATTCTTTTTGTTTTTCTCTTTTTTCTGCAGCCCTCGCGAAGTTTGCTTGTGACAGGTAAAAAGACACTTGAGAAGCGTAACCCAGTATCCCACGCAAAAAGGCTGTGTAATCGACACATGCAGCTTCGCTTTTGCATGCCACTGTCTTCGCTGCAAATTTTTGGAAAACAAAAATGTTCTCGAGTGCATGCAACAAAAAATGTTGCAAGCAACGAGACATTGACAAAAGCGCTAATTTTGCATCCATCAATCGCTAGATCAACAGCGAAAAGCTTTTTTGGGAATTCAGAAAAGAAGAAAATTTCGCGCATTTTCTGTCGCGAGTTCCTTCTCACATCCCAATATATTAAGTTGTCCCTTAAGTCTTTCCATATCGAAGAAATCGGCTTAGTTCAGTTCTTTAAATTAGAGCTCAAGCTATTCGATAGAGCAACGCAAGCTCTATAAGATGAGCTTCAAAAGGTGGCAAAAGTCTTGATACATCTGAAATATGAAGCCGAGATATAAACTCAAATGCCCGAAAAGTCGGATCTCAGCTCAGAAAAATTACGGACCTCCAACTTGCTCAGGTATATAATCCCCACATCAGCATTTATCTTTACATTTGCTGAATTTCTCCATGCCTAGAAATGCGTAAAAACAAAAACAGGCCGCCGCGAAGAACCCAGATCTAAAAAGCCAGGAAAATGTTGCTTTTTCTGGTTTTTTTAGGTCAAAGATTACTTCTCGGGAAGTAAAGCATATAGAAGGCTGAAAATTTATACAGTATTCACAAATGTTTATACTATAGGTCTGCTAATATTAAAACTGCCCAACTTGGCTTTTTTACGAAATATGCAAGTTTTTAGTGCTAACAATGTAGAAAATACAACAATTGCATGTATGAATGCTCGATATGGACATTATATGCTAAAACGCATAAAAGTCCATAGGGTTTTTCTGCACGAAAATTTGAATTTTTCAATATTTGGGCATTTGGATCTTTTTAAATTGGATTGGAACTTCAATCACACTTGGTGTGAATGTTGGAAAGTCATCCTGCAGAGATTGCTTCGCTCTATCGGAAGATACCATGATTACCTTGAAAAATTTACGAAGAAATAACTTGTGGTAGAATCAAATATGAAAAGATTTATGGGACAATCTAATATTATGCCATTTGTGTACTACTCGAAATTGTAATATTAGTACTCGAATCTATATCAGCTGCAAATCCCAGTGCACTAACAAATGCGCCATATGTCAGACATGTGTTCCAGCAAAAATTCTAGAGTAGACCATGTTCTTAGCGGTCATGTGCCAACAGTTAGAGGTTAAAGGCCATAAATCTGAGTGTTTATAGGATGCACAATGAAGCCGACCACAGATATAATTTTTATGATTCACCTAACTATAAAACTTGTTTGCTCAAATGGTTGTTAACCAAAATGATTTCGAAGCGGTTTTCCTTAGTGGCTGCACCAATGCTTTAATTTACAGCAAAGCAGATAAACATAGATTGATAAGTCAGTAGTATTTAGAGACTGCGCGATGTGGTATTCGTATTTTGAATGCGTTTATAAAATTGTCGTAAACTTGCTGGCTATTTGTGTATTTGCAGCATCAGTCATATTGTTGTGTAGGCCCTGCCTGCACTACATATAGAGCAACTTTTCTAGAAATTTTTCAGAATTTAAAAAAAGTGCAACATAAATTACCCGCCAACCTAATGCTTTAGAATTACCGTAAACCCCTCGCATCATGCAGCGAAGCAAGTGTGATTTTCGTAATATTACATCCACTCAGGTTAGATTTGTTCGACCGCCCTACCATTTTGGCCGAATTCCGGATGTATTTTCCATTTCATCATTTGGGCCAAAAACTTTTCCATTTGCCAGTAAGGGAGATACATAGTAACTCACAAGGAGAGGATACTTAGTCGAAAGCACCAATCCAGATGAGGCATATATCATCGTGACGTGCTTGGAGCGCTGATTTCAAATCTGGCAAAATCAGCTGCGGAGCGCCTTTGGGCAACGAGTTATGGTTGTTTTTGTGAAGAAAATTTGAAGTCGAGGGAAGAAAAAGATTATACGCAGAAGTCTCCCGTTGGGCTCGAATGGAAGAGTGACGTCTGTCAGATTACTCTGCGCAAAGAAAAATGTCTCTCTGCAATACTCACATTTAAAACGAGTCTATCTGTAAAATATATCATCGGCTCCACGATTCGTGTAGAGGCGGGATTATGCCAACAAAGCGTGGCGGTTTTTGATAGCGAGAGAGTACAAGAAACAATGCTACGACGTGTAGATTTAACAAGTTTACCTGTGTTATCAGGCAAAGTCTGCAATACACCTCTACACGAATCGTGGAGACAATCATACATGTTGTAACGATCAATTTTACTCCATTTACGCATTCAATTTTTGGCTATTGAAAAGGTCATAGCTCCTCACCCAAAGGCGCTCCGCAGCTGATTTTGCCAGATTTGAAATCAGCGCTCCAGCAGGTCACGATGATGTATGTCTCATCTGGATCGGTGCTTTCGACTAAGTATCCTCTCCTTGTCAGATTGGAAATTATAGAGGAGATTGACATCACTAGACGCGAAACTGCTTTCCTTTGTTTGCGGAACAACTTCGAAAAAACGTAACAGCATTTGAAAGTCTAAATCCATCAGGCCCTAAGGTGGCATAAATTTAGCGAAAATTACAACACCTGTAAGTGGTTAATCAAATCTGTACCAAATACAGGGTGTCCCAAAAAATGTGAACACTGTTTGATTGTTAATAACTCCCTTGTTTTCACGTCTTTCGCCAAGATTGAGTCACCATTCTATAGGGCGAGGTTTAGCTTAGATTTACAGTATGGAGCGAATGTCGACCGCTCTTCATTACTGTAGGATTACGGTAGGAACTTCGACAAAGATTTTAGGCCATTGTAGGCCATATTCTGCCTCGAAACAGAACCAAACAACCCAAAATTTTCTATACTATGGTGATGGAAGGTGCCAATTTCGAATATGAAATTTCTATTTTACTGTGATGCTTCTTTTCAAGGTTATCCTATTTAAACCGTAATATCTGAATTTCTAGTGTTTGTCAGAAATGTGAACACTGTCAAGAAAGCTAAAAACACTCGTAAAAAGTTATCTAATGGAATCGGCGCGCACGAAAACCCTGGTACACAATTTTTAAGATTTTTCGAACAAATTTTGTCAAATGGCATATTTCACAACAAATCCACACGCGAGAAGTTCATACCGTAATCCTACAGTAACAAACAGCGATCGGTGATTCGCTCTATACTACAAATCTAAGTTGAACCTCGCTCCACAGAATGGTGCCTCAAGCTCGGCGAAAGACATGAAAATAACGGAGTTATTAACGATCAAACAGTGTGTATGTAACTACAAGAGAGAAACACAACCATTGGAAATCCCCATAGGTGTTTTTGTAGGGCATTTCGCTGATATTATACCGCCTAAAACTTCAAAAATTTTAGAATTAACGCTCATATCTTCTTTCGGAGAGCTGTTCTGTAAAATTACGAAAGCGGATTGGTGAAGTGCGATTTTTTACGGAAACCTTGCAATCCATGAGAACTCAACTTTGATGATGCAAGATTACCCTAATCACGCTTTAGAAGCTAGAATAAGTTGTTATTTTTGTAATTCTATGCCTGATATCCGATTACATTCCGTACCCCAAAAAAAGGGATGGTAGCTACTAACAAGGGAAGTGTCAGAGGTCGCAGTGGCCTTTCAGTGTGAAACATGTATTATCTGAAGGAGCTTGGAACGCTGATCCCAAAACAGCCCTCCTTAGCTGGAGATCCACTCTGGGTCGGGAGTTATCGGCATTTTCACCAATTTTTACATTGTCCAGAGTTCCTTATGATCATGATCAAATGTTTATAGAAGTACTACTGCGTAATATCGAGGAGGGAGTGAAATCACACTAAACGTTTATAAACTGTTCTATCCTTGTTTCAGCCCAAAATACATGGGCTTTGATAGCTCTGGCTACTTTGCGACTTTTGTAGCTTACCTTATACGACGGGCTTTCATGGCATACTAAAAAAAATTGTGTCTACTTTGACATTCATTTGAGCTTTGGCCTTAAGCCTCTACTTTACCCGTGTTATCGGTGTAACAAGTGTTACCCATGTTACCCGTGTTACCTTTTACTAATGTTACTCGGTTACTAATAGATGAGATTGATTTCTAGAGTGAGACTGTATTTGTGATCTTCACTACTCAACAGCAATAAAACCGATAACACTAGTAACGATAGTAATACGAGTAACACGGGTAACACTGGTAATGGGTCAGAGCCTAATGTAAACGCTTTGATAGAAAAAGTGGAGCTTATTTCTTGACAACTGCTCCATCTCTTTCTCAGCCACGTCCTCTTGCCCATCACTCCTTCCAAAAACCTTCCTATATGCACTCACCTGTTTCCCAGAGACGTTAGACAATGCGCAAATTTCTTCACAATAATTCTATCCTTGGGAGCAGCTGAGAATAAAGCAGCAATGGTGCGAGCGTCAGCAATCTAGTAAAACACCATTCAACGGATTTTTGAAAAAAAACATTTTTTCACATACTTTATTGAGCATTCCTTGCTGATCGAGAAATACCTGTCCAAAGCCAGCAAGGCGCGAGATCAATTGGTCTGAGCAGTGATCAAAACCGTGGAGGTAGGCGGTCTCGAGGAGACCCAACGTCGTTTCAAACGACGGTCGAAGCCTTGGGAAATTGTACACTAAATTCGAAAATTATGAGTCTACTTATATAGGCAACCACTGGGGCTATGCGAACAAGCCGTGATTTTGGAGCTTCGTCTGCTGACATTTTTTCAAAAAGCTCAAAAAATTGAACATTTTTGCAGTTCAAAATTCCCCTTTCTTAATGTTTGAGTAGTGTTTCTTAGTGTTTGAGTCTTTTTTATCAAGTAATCATTAGCTCCGAAAACTATAAATCAATAATTCCATTTTGTTCATCAAAAATGAATGAACTCTGATTTCTTTTAACCTAAGCGCGTTAATCGAACTGGTGATATGTTAAATAATATTTAATGCGCATGGTATGGCCTTCTTGTAGGGCCTTACCATGCGCGTAAACAGGGTTACTTGGGTAGACGGGATGGAATCAGAACTGCAGAAATCATTATAACTTTTAGAAAGGTTACCTGACATGCTAATCACGAGTTCAGTCATCATAGATTGTTCATTTTTACGATTACCCCTTAAGGTAAGGTCAGGGTAAGGTAAGTATTATTGGTACTTAGGTGTTCCTGAGACTTTACATTGAAGGAAGGATATTCGCCATCAGCTAGTCAAGTAGTCTTACACGGAATGCGAGACAAATTTGAAATTTTGCAATAGCGCCAGATTTACCAACTGACTAGTTTTTAGGGCCCACAATAACAGTATTCCCATAAATGTTACCCAAGGACACATTATTTTTATTCAAAACTTCTAAAATCGTTTTTTAAAGAAATCACTTGCGAGTATAATTTTTCGTAGTGCTCCCTTCTCACAAGCATGTTACACTTGCACTATTTATTTTTTGTCTGTTTTTTAGTTATGCGGTAAAATGAGAAGCATGAAAATAAGAAGTATCAGAGAGACTCACATAGAAATTCTTTACACTTTTCCCTGAGTGAAGGAATATCCCAGATGTCCGAGTAACGCATCATTAATCCGCAACTTTTTTCTGAAAATTTATGAAAATCTATAGAAAATACAAAGGAAATATACTGCAAACACACCTGTGACTTTCTTTTTTCCACCCGGATGTACTATGTCTAGAAAGAGTGCGATATCTGCTGGCGTTTCGCTTTCCAAGCTAATTAGCTTGTCTCGAGCCTCAGCAAACTCTCCAAAGAAGGCGATATCGAAAAATTTAGAAATTTCTGCTAAGAAGTGCCCATTCACGTAGAATGTTGTCCCTGGAAAGACGTCATTTCGACCATTTCATCACACATCACTTGCAGAAACTCTGGGTATATTTTCCTGCCCTACCGCATTTGTTACCTTTTAGGCAATATTATAAGCAATCTGAGTACTTGGGCTTTTTAGATGGAGATGATTGGAAACACTAGCCAAGCTATTGCCAAAGCCACATCTATAATCTATACAAGCTACCCCAAAAGTGACTACACACCATTTGTTCCTATGTAACTCTCTTCCCACCTAGTCTTCTACCTGATAGCTTCAATTACTGTTCAGTAGAGCAAGCTTCATCTGATTGTTAGACCTACAGTGATTAGTAAGTCACCTCGCTCTTACTGTGAGATTACGGTAAGAATTTTGAAGAGGGTTTTAGGCATCAGTGGCCATATTTTGCTCCAGAAAGTAGAGCTTTCTTTGTTGTTCTTTGAGTGTCTAGGACGAATGGCCCCACGCTAACAGTTCTTCATTTTAGTTTAAAGTTTTTTCATTCAATTTAAATGGTACACCTTGAGTGTAAAGATAAAGTATAAAGATAAAGAATGGATACATAAGCTGGAAACTCTTCATTAGGCTAAACTGATCCTCTTATGAACAGAACTTAGTATTCTTCCGAGTTCTATTTCATAAGTTACAGGTAACCTCAACAAAAGTTTTTCAGTGTTTTCAAAAGTGTGACTAAATCATGTGAAGCGATTCAAAAACTCGTGAAAAGTTGTCCAATAAAATTTACCTGTCTAATAAGACTACTAAACAAATTTCCGCAATTTTATCTACAGTATCTCACAATGGCGCTGTATGCTAAAAGTTCCTACCGTAATCCTACGGTAACGGACAGCGAGTGTTGATCGCTTCATGCTGTAAATCTAAGGAGCAGTCCGCTCTACTGAATGGTGATTTGAACAATGCAGAAGGCTTTGTGGGAAGAGAGTTACTAACGTTTAACAAACGCGACGGACCAATAATTGTGCTGGAGGAGGACGGTAGAAAGACGGTCTGGGTTGGGGTTTGGAGTTGAATTTAACGGCCAAGAATAAATTGATTTGTCGCCTACAAGGTCACTTGGTTGAAGGGCCTTCCAAAAAGTTTTCAACCGAAACATATAGGATCTCAAGTTCTCCTCCAAGTTTGGATTAATTTACCTACAAAATTTTGCCATCTTACCGTAGCAGCTCGTTATTGATCTAAAGCTATAAGAGCCCTCCACTCGCCCAGCTTAGCTTTAAACTTATCCTCGCGAACTCTGGGGTGTTTGTGTAAGAGTTACGAAATTTGTTTACCCTTCAATTTAAGCTGCGCTTGGAAAAAAAGACGAAATGCTACCACAAAATGCGCTAGCATCAAAGTACACAGTCTGGTTAAGTCCAATATAACTCGGAAAAAAGGATGTATGGGAAGGAATAAAATGATCACCTTTAACAGTGATACGACAGTTCCTATGCTTTGTTTCTACTGTGAAATTTCCCGACTCCTCGGCCATTCTGCTGTAAAAAATTTTGCGTTAGAATGAATACATGATAGATGAATACATTGATATACGTAGTCCTCAAGTGCACAGAAACTCAACAGCGCTTTCATCAACTTATAGCTAAGACAATCAATGAAATGTGGAAAATCATTCCTGCTGGATGAAGATCGAGCAAGCCGAGATTTTTGATGAAGAGCGGGACGGAAAAATGGAAAATTTCCCGTATTTCAGAAGGTTTTCTGCAGCTTTCTCAGAATATCATGATTTCATCTTCCAGGATTGAAATTATTGGCTTCAGCCTTCAGCACATCAAATTATGAGTCAAACATAGGGAGGGTCAATCCTTGTGAAAAACAGCGATCCAATTCTCCAAGGCAGGGAGTGATTTCTAGAGCATTCTAAGAATTACCTTCAAAAATACAATCAAAATCGAATTATTACATAATATTGGCTACTACATACATAGTATCATTATCAACTGATTTGCTGCTCCAAGTGTAAAATATATAAATCTTTCCAGATAGGCTCCAGAAAATTCTAGGTAAATGCAGATGACCTAGAATTTCTTGCTAGAATTGAGATTGTTGAAGCTCCTTAATAACGAAATTTCGGGAAACACTGCAAAGATCAAGAACAGTAGTCTGAAGGTAGAGGAAACGAGCAGTTACCATAGTTATGACTTTTTATTTTCATATATATCTGTGATTTCATAAAAATTTAAACGACTGGCTTTGCGTCTCCCCCGGATTGGTCTACGCTGTCGAAATAGCACAGCAGAAGGAAAAGTTCATTTACTTCTTTTTTTCAGCACTCAATTTCTCAGTTTTTATAAGCTGATTTCATACTTTTTTGTAGTCGCTGTTATCAAAACAAATCCCTTATCTGATCATTTAAAGGGCGTCACCTCTAAATATATGCGAAGTGAAATATTTTGGCATGAATTGGTTTAACAGCAAGTTACACCTACCATCTGAAGTGCCTGTAATTTTACCGCACTCATTGCTTAGGAGATCATACGCCCATCAATTATTTCGAACGAATAGCGGTAAAAAAACGAATTTGAGGAAAAGGATCTATTTGCAAAGTTCTATTCTCGCTAAGAAAATTGGAAGCAGAGCACAGGCAGAAAGAAAAATGAGACAAAGTGAGGCGAAGAGACTCAACCTCGCTTGTGATATGACTAATTGGAAAGTCAACTCTCTGTGTATCTTCGTCAGTCGTTCTTTATCTGAATAAACAACTCACCTACGTAGCTGATGGGATGGATTTGCGTTTTAGGACCCACAAAAAGAAGAGAGCGCCACAAATTTCTGTTGAAGAGCTCTCGAAACGAGGAATTCAATATTTAAGATTCGGTTTTGGGACGATATGCATAGATAGAAATGTGAGCAAAATTTCCGCTGGATTTAGGGCAAAAGATTGATTCTAGGGGTTCAAAAAATTCTAATTTTGAAAGAGTAGCTCAACGATGCACCTGTGTGAGAAATAGGTTTGAAAGCTGGTTTACTTGAGTCAAGGAGAACAGAAAGCAAGGCAAACATTCATGAAAAGATCCAAAAAATTGTTCACCAGCTGCGGCAAAGCTTTCACGAGTGGAGAACGCTGTGGAAAGCAATAAGATTGATCAATTTCTCGGGCGAAAATCCTCGCACGGTACCCGCTTGTTTATTGTTCCACTCGGTGGACGTAAACAATAAATGAGAATGTAGGGGACATGAACTGACCCGGGTAAAGCGACTGAGAATCAAGTCAATGAAATTCGCTGTAGCAAACCTCATTGATCCACCTATAATGTGCTATCGTCAACGCCATTAGCCGAGTTTTTTTTCGTGATTACTCGAGTTTCAAGAGGATTTTTCTTACGACCCTGAGCCGATAAAGACCCACGAGTATGTGTTGCCCCAACAATTAGCTAGATGCTCTAGTCTGAGAGGCAGTAAAAGTTAACAGTGAGAAGTGAAGTGAGCCAAGAGGGGCTGCACCCCATTTAGTTTGCTTGATCTTTTCAAAAACAACTTCGAGAGTGTCTGGTGCAGAAACAGCTGACATAACATTCTCGAAAGTCTAACTAACATACTTGCTAAGCTATCGGGCCCAATGTGTTTTGAAGAAGGATCAGACGCTTTATTGATCCTCCGCATGTTCATGGGGCTGTCACTTTCTCGTGACAGGGTCAATGCTTAAACACTAAAAAAACCTGGCTCTTTGAAACATCTGCTGCCAGTTCTGGGACATATTTGGAGTTGGAGCATTTCTGATTTTAGGCTCTTTGGTGCGAACAATTTCCCGTCTTCCATTCGGGATTTATCCTGCCGTCCAATATTGAAGTTTGTTGTAATGCGGTGACGACAGCATTTGCGCGGAAACAAATACCATGCATATACTACAGATTGCAGACGTCCAGTAAACATAGAGAGCACAGCCGGCTTATGCGCAGATGTTGTCGACAAGAAAGAACGATAAACATAGATTTATTAGGCTTTTACAAATATATTGAGCTGTATTTGCCATAGTGTTTATAGTCTCTTCAAGTCTGTTAGCAAAAATGCAAATAAGTCAATGTCATGCTATTAAAGATTAAGATAATTAGCAGAGAAAATAAGATTTCGAAGTTTGGTAGGCTTATTCTTAAGTCCCAACTATGCTTTTGGGGCAAACCAAGGACTGTCGTCAGCATTTCGAAAATTTCCTTTCTTATGATTTTTTGAGTGCTAGAGGTCCTAAGATTTATTGAAAAATTAGCGTGGTCGAAACCACTCTTCCAAAAAAAAATTTTTTTTACAAAGCTAATCTCTTTTCAGAGTTCTTCAAATTACTTTGACTATTTGCAAGGAAAAATGTCACTTTCATAATTTTTTAGCGCATAAGATCATAAAAAATCTAGCGACCCATTCTCAGACCCTCCGGGACCCACGCCCTTGGTCAGCCAGTGATTTCTGGCCATGAAAGATTCATCAAGTTTAAATATAATCATAAATGTAAATATTTATACATATGTGGTTCAGTTGAAGTAATGAAAGAATGATGAAGAAGAGAAATACTGCGGAGAAGCAAAGTAGGTAAAGTTTTTATAAGACGAAAGTATAAGTAACAAATTTACAAATCTTTTGATACAAGGGTTCCAAAAAACGCAGAAAATACAGTCTGACCGAGTAACTTCTTTTAACTCCCTTTAGGAGTAACTCATTCCGATTTAGTTGATTTTTGGTATCACTTGAGCTTGCTTCAACTTAGATACAGTATAAAGTTTATCACCGACCTCTTTTCATTATCTTAGGATTACGGCAGAAATTTTGGAGGGTTTTAAGTCATTGCGAGTCACATAAGTAGTGCTTCAGGCGGGAAATCGACAAGCCAAAAACTCTTCTACTAAGCTAGTCAAAGTTGATTCTGATATGAAATTTCCGCTTTACCATGATGTTATTTTCGTAGATCACACCGCGTAAGCCGTAACCAGTTCCTCCACTGTTCCTCACTAATGTTATTACCACTAAAGAGGCTCGAAATGTCGTTAGAAGTTGCTAAGTTAGCGTGAACGTAAATATTGACACAGACATTTTGCAGATGTTGTTTTTTAAAAGTTCCCCATCGAAGGGCCTATTTCGCAATAGCTAGCTCTGTATGCTTACCATGATCCGACAGTATTGAAGTGAATGAAGAGCGATCATTGATCCGATCAGTAAATCTGATTTCAATTCGAAGCAAAGTTCTGCAGATTGGTATCTTATAAGCGCCGAAAGGCATTAGAGCAAAAGAGATGTTACCGACCAAACAGTGTGCACATTTTTTAAGAAATCCTCTATAGTAGTTTTCTGGCGTTAGTTACTAATTTTTTTTCTTGAATGTTTTATGACCCGAAATCCGTCCCAAAACGTCGAGTAAAAAACTTGTCAGCCAAGGGCGAACTAGATGCCAATTGTGAAAGTTTTCAGGCATCATCAGTAAAAAAGCAAATAAAAACTGTTGAATCAAGTAAGACAAAGATTTCTATTGCATGATATGTTTATTGTTAAGGGTTTAGTTTAAGCGATCTATATCAAAGTCAGTTATTCTGATTCGCTGAGATTGTACTGTGTACATATTGAATTGATTAGTTCCAATTTATTGGACAGAAAAGACAGCTGATCAAAATTTTAGGGTTTTTGGGAAGGATTTAGTGAATCTTCACAGTTGATTTTTCACAGATAAAATATTCTGAAATGGTGTTGCAGAAAGGAGAGGAAGTCAAATTGTTATTAGAAGCGTGAAAACAGCGCGGATTATTTTGTTTTTCAAACAGGATCTACATAATGTTCTAGTTATTTGAAGAAGTAGAAAGAATGCTGTGTAGACAATGTACTTGATGTGTCCTCGAAATGAGCTCATTGAGAACTTGTCGGACTCACAGCTATGAATCACATGCATCGGTATATCTATGCGAAACTTGTACGTTAGCAGCTCCAACCTTCTGTTCTTAATTTACGAATTGATGGGAATTGTCCTTCGCTGTAAAATCAGGGAAAAGTGCGGAAAGATGAAGTAAGAGTATTTGCTTGAAATTTTTTGAGTAGATTAGAATCTGAGTAGTTGTATCAGCAGACACAGGGTATCTTCAAACTAAAGAAGACATGTGATCAAAGCCACCTACATATAATCGGAGAATTGAGAATGGCTCAAAATTAGAACTAAAACAGTCCTAACTCCTTGTACCAAAGCGATCTATAGCTGGAGAAGTGAGAGTGGCCCAATAGAACTATAGCATTCCCCAAACCCTTGCAGAAACTTGTAGATAAGTTCGTTTTTTGATAGAATTCTTAGTTTGAAATCCTGTAATTTGTGCAAAACTGCAAGACTGATTTTTTTCCTTTGGAAGTTTCAGAGCAGCCTCTGTGTAAAGCGTGTTGGCAAGACCGCATTTCTTATACAATTTTTTTGGATTTTTATCTCCTCCTTATCATTTTAAAGAGCTGGTCAAGCGGCATATTTTTCTTCGATTGGTTTTGTCTAGTAGAATCCGTATGATCTTTCTTATAAACACC